TATTAAGGGTAATCACGTAGAGGATGTCCAAGTCAATGTTGTGTTTGATGTTATATACTATATGTTTGTTTTATGCAACAAATCTATTTTAAGACCTCAAAGTCAATGTAGTATTAAGGTAATCATGTAGAGTTACTAATCGAAGTTATTAATGGTTTTTCATGCAATTGGTGAGAGACATTGCAAATAAAGCTCGAACAACTTTTGTTCATCTCCATTTCGAGTGTCATCACAAGCCTGAACACTCTGTTCTTTCTACAATCCCTCACGATTTATGAGATTATAAATGTATACATTTGTTGTTGCTTGTAATTTTTTTTTTTTGGTTTTAATGTTCTTGACAAGAACTTCTTGTACTCTCTGAAATCTTCAGGTTGATACATTGCGGTATGATTTTTTTTTCTTTCTTTTCCTATTGAGTTTTACATTCTCTTTTGAAAAACAATAAAAAGATCAATAGTTTTGAGCTTTAGTGAATTTCTACTAGTTGGTCAGACATTTTAATAACTAATCATCATTTCAACATGCTACATGTCCAATCCAATATGACGTTATACCTTGGGATTTACTAGTCATATAAAGAGATTCATTTTGTATTACGAATACCCAAAAACAGCAAAGTGCTCAGATGAACAAAACACTAAAAATCAAGCAGATTTTTACCTTGCTCAATATGGCATTTCTTTAATTTTAAAATATTTGGGCTACTCTTTAAATTTTGTGTAGATTTGGCCTATTTTTTTAATTATCCCATTAACTAATTGGTCATAAACTATTTTAGGTTCTATCTTAGTAGAAATTCAAAATCCATTTTATATAGATATAAATTTTGTAAGAAAATGTGTTCAATCCGTGAATTATTTGTAAACAACATATTTTAAAATTTTTAGTCAATATCTATTAATTATTAATAAAATATATTTATTTAATATCATAATCTTCAAATATACGGTTTATGACTTAAATATACAAAATGAAATATTGCAAATAAAAAATAAATTTTATAAGTTTATGGTAATTATAAGAGTACTAACATAATTTTTAAATTATAGATTCAGATTTAATTAGTTGGTCATAAAACTTAATCAAGATTTGAAAATTATATTTATTGAGGTGACACTAAGTAAAAAAATCTTATGTGTCATTCAATGGGGATTAAGGGACACTTCAATTAAATTAATCAATCAAAACATTCTAATTAAGTTTATATGCATTGGTGGAAATATCTACATATTTATAGTATTTTTTTAACATAACCTTACAAATACATGTATTTGTTGGATTCCGTGAATTCAAATAAGTTTGAAAGAACTCATAATTCAAACGCATTCAATTTGCATTAAAAAGCTTAGATTCAATCTAAGTGTTATGCAAACTAAATTTTTCAAGATAAAATATATTTATCTATAGGGAAATATACCATTTAATTTTTTTTAAATTTATCCCTTATATTATAAATTTTCAGATATTTTAATTCTGCGTTTGACGCGAGTCAAAAATCTAGTCAAAATATTAAATATAAAGAATAATGAATATACATATTCTTAATGTTCTAATCATAATATTGTTTTAGGAAAGATTTAATATTACAATTTTTGAAATATGGTTTTAGGAAAGTTTATAAAAATTTTAATGTGTTTATAATTATGATTAGAGCAATCATAATAGTTTTATTACATTTTTTACGTATATAATATTTTGCGAAGTAGTTAAGTGATATTCAAATGCTATAATCATATTAAGTCTAAAAACTAATGAATATATGTATTTTAAATGTTTTAATCATAAACTTTTCTTATGCAAGATTTAATACTACAACTTTTGAAAAATGGTTTAGAAATTTTTATAAATATTATAATATGTTTGGCAGCTGGAATTAGAGTAATCAAAATAAGTATATTTGATAATAAATGTATTTGGTAATGAGTATAGAAGAATTATATAAATAAATAAAAAGAGAATGAGAAAAACTATGGGAATGATACATTTTAAAAAATAGTTTCAAATGTTTCTCCTTTAATATATGGAATATTAATATTTGGTTGTTCGTTATTAACATTTTTGTTTGGTTTGATGTTGGTATATACATCAAAGCAATTGATGTTGTATATACATATCGGTATAATTGAATACCATCATGTAATATATCCCAATTTTAGAATTGAGCAAAACAAAAGAAAATTATGAGCAAAAACAAAGGAAACAAAAGTATTTCTTTATACATGTTTGTGTGATATAGATCTACAATACTGAAATTTCATAGGATTTCATTCTAATTATTCCATCTATTTTCTTTGTAAAGAAATTTTTACATATTTCAACCAAATCCATTTTATGTCGATCAATACTTTGATCAAACACTCATATTACTTGTTTGTTTTTGATGTTTCTATGGCTATTGAGTATGCAGCTGAAAAATTGGGTTTGATATTAGCCATTGAATCCGAGAAACTCATGTTGTAGAGAATTGACATATTCGAATTTAAAAGAGT